TTGAAGTAACTCTCTCCTACAAATCCAAACAGTTCTGCAAAGGTGCTCCCGGTCGATTCGTCTACACTGGTAAGTGTACGGTTTCCTTACTCCTTTTGGGACAATAAGTCCCATCTTTTAATGATATACAGGCAATGCAAAGCGTGAACATTACAATGCTGCTGAAAGATAGGATGCGTCTTGCAGCAAATGTAATTGGTGGTAGCTGGAGCTCAGAATACCTGTTCGTGTGGGCACTCAGGAGCTCTGGTGCCTCTCCAGGCCTCTTGGGTCTCAAAAATGTCTCAATGTCTCATGAGATCAAGCTCTCTCACAAGAGGCCTGTTACTTCCTGTTTTCATTTTGGCCAGAAATAGATTACCAACGGTATTTCCTACTCTGCTCCAGACACAAGAAGGAGTTAAGAAGTATTCAGTGATGAGAAATATTTTTCGGACTATCTATCCAAACTTCTTGAACTTCGTTAAAGGTTCAGTTGAAGTTTTGGGCACCGGTTCAAGTAGTTGTTGTTGGATCCAAATAACTTTATCCAGCCTTATTCACAATCTGGCTCTCAGAATTCTTTCAGACCTGAAACTTGGGATACAAACTCACAAGCCTGGGAATGATTTATTTGTGCCAATTCTTTTAAATACATTTGATTTTAATTTACCGGAGAACAAGAAAAATTCGGAACTTTGTGGTTTCCAGTGGTTTTAATATGAAAATTCTTACTTTGGGATGAAGTATTTCTGGCTTTTTATCTAAAATGTGTATTGCAGTTTTTATGACATTTAACAATGAATTTAACCGAGGTGCTGGGAGGGAAAAGGGAGAAATTGCAATTTAATTTACTGTATTTTTGGATGAGGATTCTAGGTAATAAATTTGATCTGATGAATCAATCTCTCTTTTGAAAACAAAGAGCCTTTAACTGTTTACTTGACAGACTGCAGGGATTCGGGGAGAGTTCTTGCTGCTTATTGGGTAGATAATGCAGATTGCAGGTGATGTGCAGATGATGTGCATTTTGATGAATATTTTCCCACTAGACTGCAACTGTTTCTATCTATTAATTTAGATCTAATGGGAAAAGTGTGTTTCTGGGTAGTTTTAAGCTAGGACTTTTAAAACAGTTAATGCTTCGTGGATATGTTTTTCTGTCTGCCTAAGATCTATCGCTGAAATGAACTTTTAAGTGAAGGTAGCGTCTGAGATTCCTATCTTCCATCTATCCCCAAAGAAATCACAACCTGAGCAAAACCAGTGCTCGCATTCACACCTGGGTGCCTCACTTCTGGCCGACAAGGGAGAGAATATTTACACTTTCTTGATCTTTCTGATTGGGTTTTTACCAGAGTTACTGAATGGGATGGTAGTGACTGGGGTGATTTTGGTGCTAACAACATCTCTGGAAAGCGGACCTGGTTTTGTAGTCTGCTGCAAAGGTGGTATGTTATGAACAAAGTCCATGAAAAGCTTCAGCAGAGTATCGTGACAAGTATGACTATTTAGATAAGTGCTCAGCAAAGTAAAAAATGAATGAAGTAAAAGCCTGAGACTAAGTTCCAGATATTTTAGCTGTTGCAAGCTGGTGCGGTTCCATTGCACACAAGGAAGCGCTGCAGATTTGAACCAGATGACAGTCTGGCTCTCAGTGCAGAGGCCTGGAATTTTGAATTGCTTTGTAGTAATGTCTTCAACTGATTTCTTAGGTGCGGATTTTGCAAATTTGGCAAATTTTGCCGTTTTGAACTTCTTTCTAATGTGTAAATGCAAATATGTGTGAAACTGTAAGGAAAAGCCATTCGTTTCTTCTTTCCTGGGGTCATCTTTTGTCTTTATCTCTAAGTAAAGATGCTCAAAAGAATTGTGAGAATGTCAGGAGCTTCTCCCGCCGGAATTAAATTGTAATAAAGTTACATTGCTAACAACACTTTAACGAGAATATATATTTAAAACACCTTTTAAGGGATACAAAAGCCTATATTCAGGCAATAAGAAAATAAAAAGATAAAGCCAGCATCTGCCTGACCGAGAAACTTCTGCCTGCTTTGCTTTATCCTTAAGTGATAGGGTGACTGAGATAGTCTTTGGAAATTACAGCTGGCATTGAGAGCGAAGCCAAGCCTCACTGTATTTCAGAAAATGAAAATGATGTAGCCCTAGAGGAGGGAGGGGCTGAATCCCCAGGGCATCTGTTTCCCATCAGTGTCCCACCATGCTTGCAGTCTGGCTTGGCACTCTAACATTTAACCTTCCCAGCATGAGGTAGACCATAGGGCAACAAGGCTGCAGAATAATGAAACAAGAGTGTAGTGTGGTGTACAAAGCCTTTGTGAGCAGAGAAGTTGAGACATTAAATGATCAGGGTACAGAGATATGAAAGTTCCAGATTTTTCTAAAAAGCCCCATTAGTCTCACGCAGAAGCAAGAGCGCGCCGTCTCTCAGCAGGCGAAGGCAAGGCCTTTCCCCATCTATCCATGCCTTTTTGCCCGCTGCTTTCAACTATTATAAAGATACAATTACCTTGGGAGATTGTGGCAGTTCAGTTGATTAGCACGGTGAATTAAAAGAATGAGTCACAAATGACATGTCCAGCTCTTCTCTACTAGTCCTTTGTATTCCCAGTATACCTCACCCCTGTTGTAAGAAGGTCAAAAATTAGAGAGAGATAACAATTTTCAAGCAGCTAGCACTTAGGAGCAGAATTAACAATCATTCTGTATGTAATTGCCAGTTAATAGTAAATTGCCTTTTAGACTGTAAAATGCAATATAAACTGGTGGGCACCTAAAATTAAATTAATGAGGTATTTGCTGCATTTAAAAGTGAATAGTGCAAATTAATAACTGGGTACAATACTTGTTTTAATATATATCGAACACTGCATCGTTTGCTTGTTTAATAATAATTTTTAAAGTGCTCCCTGAAAAAATTCTCTATCTGTCTGGGAAAATCGAGTGGTTGCTGCAGGTTGTAGCCATAATTTTGCTGGTAAAGTCTGCCAGGTTTCTCAATTAAATATCAGAGATTATTTTTTAATTAGAATATAAGCACTGCAGTGTTATTCGATTATGGCAAATTGTGATTTGTATGCTTCCAAACGAAATTATGTTACAGATAAAATTGCACCTTTAGACACATATTTTAAGCTCTGTAGATTCTGGTGGTTTACTTTAAGATGTGCGGCAGTACTGTATTTACAGTGTATTTGTGCCAGTGTGTTCCTGTTTTCTCTAAGTCTGTATTTTGCATAAAGTTTTCCTAGCAAATAAATGAAGCATAGTCCCACCCAGTGTATATTAAAATAGTTTCAAAGAATGCTATCTGGCATTCGGAACTTTTAATGCTGACTGCTTTCACCCTCATGTTTCTGTCGCACACCCTTATTTTGATAACTTCTTTTGCTCAGTTAAAGGAATGACCCAAATTGTCAGGAGGCAACCGATCATTTGCAGTAGACTGTACCCGGTTGCTGTGCAAGGTATTGGCATTCGATTGCGAACATGTCCAAAGCAGATGTAGAGAAAGCGTGAATGTTGAATACATGGAACCATTCCCAGGTCTGCAATGCATTTGCTAGATGCGAACATAAAAATGATTATTTTGCACAAAGACTTGCATTCAATTTTAAGCTTATGAAACCATTACTCAACCAGTAATCGCTCACAGTTTGTGTTCCTTCTGATAGAGTATTCCTGTTGAAGGAGTACGGCCGGGCTCGAAGGCTGGCACAGCACCAAGGGGGGGAAGCCCTCTTTAGTCACTACATTGTCCAGATTTTTTGGTTTGGCTCGGTTTTGCCTCAGGATGGAGACCTCCGCTTTGGCTGGTTTCCCTCGGTTAACCCCCACTCCACTTCCCCCTCTGAAAGATCTCGTGTTCCTCAAGTATTTTCGAGATCTTTTGTGTGCATTCAAATGTGATTCTGTCAATGGCGCTGTTACACTGTTTAGAGTCAATAGCTCCCTTCCATCACAGCCAACACAAACTAGCTGTCTCATAGGTCAGTGCTCTTTAAACAAATTACTTGTATCCACAGAGCAAATGATTGTTAATTGCCTCCCACAAATCATACTATTTTTACTATGCTAAACTACATGCGAATGCCTTAGTTAAATTTAAATCACCTGATTATTCCTTGTACATATTCAATTATTGTTCTTAAGTATGAAATCTGGTGACTTTGCAAAACGAATGCTAAAATTTATGTAATGGATACAGGACTGTATTGGAAAGCCTCAAAAAAAAAGAGAAGTACGGTTACATTCATTTTAATTAAATCCTCAGCATTTCTAATTCATATATATTGCATTTCCTCTTTTTTTTTTTTTTTTTTTTTTAAAGTGCTGTTGTCCTGAAGCAACTTACAGTCACTATTATTACAGTATTGGTTATTTATTGATCAGACCTCGTGTCAGTATCAGTTGTTAGCAAGCTGAAAAAAAATCAAGATGGAACAAATATTCTTGCTCTTTCTTCAAGATGGGTCTTTCTAAGTCAGTCAAAGTTAGCATTAAAAAGCCAAAACCAGGAAGTATTTCTATTAATATGTTAAACTGCTTTATTGTGCTGGAGTAAACCATGTTTTTCTTAAAACAATAATGTCAAAGGGAAGGAGATTCCAGTTAACTGTCTTTTCTTATAAAGAAGGCTTTTCAGCATGACATACATTTTTAATTAATAGGGCAATGCTAAACATACAGAAATGATTTAGTAGTATCAAGTCAATAGCATGTTGGATAATGTATATTATATAATAGCTCTTTTTGAAACAGTAGCAATTCCAGGTTTATCAGGGTCATTGTTGTCCCCTTTCTTTTCTGTCTCAAAGGAGGCCAGAAGAATGAGACATACCATTTGTGCTATTGCACAAGTAGACTATTTGTCCTAATCAGTGACACCCATTTACTAGAATTGCTTAAAATGAACTATACCTCATACAGAAATCGCACATTTAGAGTGTTCCATTCATCATCTGAAAATTGAGGGCCAGTAAACTTTTCTGTTCCTCCAGCGGGATCATAGACATGCATCAAAATGTTAAAAAATGATTGGTGAGAGAGAACTGTCACCCATTTATCAA